GACCCACCCACCCAACCAGCTAGCCAGCTAGCCACCCACCCAGCCAGCTAGCCAGCTAGCTAGCTAGCTAGCCAGCTAGCCAGCTAGCTAGCTAGCTGGCTAGCTAGCCAGCTAGCCACCCACCCACCCAGCTAGCCAGCTAGCCAGCTAACCAGCTAGCCAGCCAGCTAGCTAGCTAGCTAGCCAGCTAGCCACCCACCCAGCCAGCTAGCCAGCTAGCCAGCTAGCTAGCCAGCTAGCCAGCCAGCTAGCTAGCTAGCTAGCTGGCTAGCCACTGGTCTGTGGCTGCAGGTGAACCACTCGCCGTCGTTCGCGACGGACAGCCCTTTGGACAAATTCGTCAAATTCGCTGTCGTGCGCGACGCCCTCAAACTCGTGGGGGTTTCCGCCAAAAACAGAAAAAGGCAAACCCTAAACCCTAAACCCTAAACCCTAAACCCTAAGCCCTAAACCCTAAACCCTAAACCCTAAGGCCTAGGCGGAAAGTGCTGGTCCTTAGTGGTGGATGCTGCGCTTGAGCGAGAGGGCGGGTGGTAGGCAGCAAGTTGTTTGGGGCTGCAGCCGAGGATGTCTGCTAAACCCTAAACCCTAAACCCTAAACCCTAAACCCTAAACCCTAAACCCTAAGTGTCGATTCTGTTGCTCTTCTGTTTGCAACCGCGAATTTAAAAGATAAAATGGATCTAATTGGATTGGACAAATTCATCGGATTAAACCCTCCAAGTAAATGAATCGAAATACATATATTAATTGATTAAGTTTGCTGCTGCTGCTGCTGCTGCTGCTGCTGCTGCTGCTGCTGCTGCTGCTGCTGCTGCTGCTGCTGCTGTGATTCTGCTTCTGCTGCTGCTGCTGCTGCTGCTTCTGCTTCTGCTGCTGTTGCTGCAGGTACCTCGCAGAGCAGCGGCTCGCGGCGGAGCGCTGCAGGGGGCTGCTGACGAAGGAGGAGAAGCAGCAACAGCAGCAGCAGCGGGAAGCAGCAGCAGCAGCAGCAGCAGCAGCTCGGGCGGACTACGAAGACAGACACAAAGGAGGGTTTATTAGAATTTATCCCCGAAAAGAAAACAAAGAAAACTACAGTCACCTTTTTGCTGCTGCTAATGAAATCTGCGAAAGCCAAACTGGCATGCTGAAGTCCCGGCCGCTGCTCATCGCGCTGCAGCGCAGCAGCCGCAGCAGCAGCAGCAGCAGCAGCAGCAGCAGCAGCAGCAGCAGCAGGAGGGAACGAGCCGGGCTGCATGCAGGGCGGGAAAGCTGAGGTGTACGTACACCGCAGCAGGGGGGCCCGGGGCCGCCCCATGCCAGTGGCCAAAATTAATTTATCTTTTCGGAATTCTTTTGAGTCTTCTGAAGGAGTTTTGGGGCTTTTTGCATGCAAAGAAAAGGCGCATGCAAGTGCTGCTGCTGCAGCAAAAAGAAAAAAGAAAAATAAAACTTTTGAGTCCTTTTGAACAACTGGGGGCCCTAAAGTGTTTTGTTTGAAACTGCTGAGGAGTCAAAGAGCAAAGAAATGAATAAATAAAGGGTTTAAGAATTAAAAATTAAAAAGAATTAAATAAATAATTAAATATTTATTTAATTCTTTTTAATTGAGTTTATTGGTTCGCTAAAAGGCCCGCAGCAAACAAAACAGAAAAAGAATTTAATTTTCAAGTTCAAGAGAGTACAGATGGCCACGGACAGAGGCAAATATGAAAGAAGCAAAACCCAATAACAAAACGAATTCAAAATAAACAAATAAACAAACAAATAAATAAATAAATACTAAATAAATAAATAATAAACAAACAAACAAATAAATAAATAAATAAATAAATAAATAAATAAATAAAGTTAAGTTCCAAGAAAAAGAAAACGCATGCGCTCAGCGCGCGCGGCTGTGCCAATTTGCAAAACGGAAAAATGGGAAAGGGCGGCCGAAGTACCCGTTTTGGAGGTTTTTTTGGTTTTTTTGAATTAAATTCGAGAAAATAAATAAATAAATAAATAAATAAATCAATTTCCGGTTTTATTTACTCTTTTGCGGCTCAAAATCCCACAGAATTCGGGGGGGGTAGAGTTCTGGCTCGGCGAATTCGGGTGTATAGGCAGCTCCGCAAGAGCGTTCAGGTGTACAGACAGCTCGAGTTCTTTCGCGCGGCCCAGAGGCCCCCTCGCTTTTAATTTCGCATTTATATTCTTTTTGAACTTCTGGAGTTTCTCCATTATCGTCGAAAAAGCAGAATTTGTCGGCTTTTTGGGGTGTATCGACAGCTGGGTGCTGAGGTGTACGTACACCCAACACCGCCACTCCCTTGCAATTTTCTGCAGCGTTTTCTGCATTTTGGGGCTCTAATTGTTCCTCTTTTGCATTTGTTTTTGTTTTTGAAGATTTGAAATCCGCAAAAATGTCAGAAAAGGATTTATTTGTCTTTTGAAGCTGCTCGAAACGAGAACGAAAACCAGCGCAAGATGGCAGACAGGCCAAAAGCTGCGTTTTCTGCTTCGCGTTGTAATCAAC